CAGATTCAGTAGAGAATATGTTTGAGTAAACAAAAAAATTGCACAGAGTGGTGGGGCTTTAGATCAGTGTCTCATTAATCAAAATTTTCATAAAAATTAACTGCGTGCAAACTAATGTAGAATTGTGCAATAGAAAGAAAAATGTACATTTTAACTTTTACTTACGAATAAAAACCTGACATTCGTACTTAACTGTACTTAAAACTTTTGTTTCAATAATATGTGGAAGAAATTTTAGGTGAAAACGTATTCCCACAGCTTTCCACATGGAAAGGTGAACACGTTCACCAATTTTTTGTAGATCTGATTGGAATTAAATCAGACAGGAGTCAGGACATCATCCATAAATATCAGCTTTCAACAACTTGCACAACATTTTTAAGATTAAAATTCAATGCCATTTCTCCTTTGTGGATTGTTCAGGGCCAAGCTCAGCATCTGGACTAAGGCTTAGTTTAAATAAGAACTGCCTTCATGTTTTCTTTCCAGATTAAACAATATCTCTTTGTCTATGTCAGCAACCCTCACTGACAAGAGGGAAACAGAATTAATATCAATAACAGATCCCAACCAAGGAACTTGGAGGAGGCGCATCCTTGGATTCTCCAGAGATCCCTCTTGACAGTAGGCCTGAATCTGAAGAAGACAAAATGTTCAATTTTTCTTATGAAGGATATTACTTTCACCCTGCTGATCTTCATAAATGCTTTCACAGACACTGTAAACACAGAACTTGGTCTGGGCTATGTTTCAGTTTACAAAATGAAAAGGAATACATGCACCCTTACTCTCATGGGGAGAACTAAAGTTCAATTATATTTGCACAATTTGGAGCCTTTTCTGTGATGTGATTATAGGTATAAGAAAAGTATCATAAATTTCTTCCACCAGATATTTGCTGATAAGGTTTTATATACTTTGGAAGTTTTGAGACTCCTGTTGACATTTTCTCAGCTGTGCAGGGAATTTCATTGTGAATGACTGAAAAAGCAGTGTTGAGACATTGCTATGATTAAGTATATTTATTTAAGTGGAACTTGATGTAGCCCATTTCAGAATGTGCTCTGCAAGTAGAAAATAGTAAATAAATGATCTAGATTATTGCTTTTGATGCCACGGACCATTAAGTCCAGGCCGTTTGCTCAGTAGCAGCCAACAAATCAAAGCAGAAATGTTTTAATGAATACAATCAAGTGGGAAGACACTAGCTGCTATAAATTCTGATGGCAGCCTTTGTGATCTTGCACACTGGAGAGCGCTTGTGTGTGGACTCAAAACAGTAAAATATGATTTAATGGAAATGCAGCTATTTTCATTGTGTGTAGTTACATTCCAGACTAACCGCAGTTGTAGGAGCTTAGCTGAAATTTGAGGTATAAAAAAATACTTCTTCCCCTTCTGTGGTTCAGCATGTGTCATTATAATGGGGAAATAGCCAAGACTGGCTCCCTTGTGTAATCTGACCTTTTTATCTTGTGTTTAAATCAAATGTTGCTTGACTCTCTGTGTTAATTCATCAAAGGCTTATGACTTTTATTTCTTCATTGTGGAAGGTCTTTGGACAGTTTATGAATTAAGTATAAAGAATTATTGTATTGTATTTTTTGACAAGTTTCTCAATTGTAACTGATAATCTACTTTAAAAAGGTAGTGCTGTGGTGGCACAGGGGGTTAGCACGCCCCACTTTTGAAGGCCTTAGTCCTCGACGCAGACGTCACGGGTTCGACTCCTGGTCTTGGCGACCTTTGCCGCATGTCCTCCCTCTTTCCTGTCTTCCTACTGTCAAAAATACAAGCCACTAGTGCTGCAAAACTCTTTGGAGAAAAAAAAAATGATTAAAAAATAAATAAATAAAAAAACAGAAACAACTGTTCTGCATGTTGACTCCAAGTCAGATTTATTTATCACCCTATCTCATGGCACTAAACAAATACCATGTTGTTGTCTCAAATAAATTAAGAAATTTAAACTCCATGATGGCATCTTGCTGAAGCTCACCCCCAGCATCAGAAAGCAACAGAAAGAGAATCAAAGTGATTTTGTGCCATGACTGCAGGTGCCAGAATATAATGCTGTGGATGATTTTCTCAAAACATTTTAACCCCAGTTTTAGGAAGAGTAGTGTTTGTCTTTGAAAGTTCACGATTGCAGGCTTTTGCTTGGTTAATTTATGATTTATGAGTGACAAGAAGCATCTCAAAAAGAAGATAATTGTAAAGGTTTAGGCTCTGACACTAGGGAATTGACCCATGTGGCTTTTTTTCCTGAGGTCGTATTATTAGTACAATTGATTTCTATGTTCCTCACTATGCAGATGACACTCAGATTTATTAATTTATGCAACATAGGAAATGTTAGAGAGCTTTTCTTTTCTTTTCATGAATTTATAAGTTGAATCACTCATAAATTGCTAAAAACCTGACATTTTTTAAATCAGTAACATTTAAAACATTTTTTGATTTGACAGAAATACTATTTTGTGTTTTTTTTATTGCATCTGATTTACTTATTAAAAATGTTAACATTTCATCCTTGAATATTTTTGTCAAATGATGGGATTCATGTTTTCCACTGAAACACACTTCTGTTTTACTTCTGTTTACTTTCCCTTCTCATTTGATTTATTTCTTGTGTTTTCTTTGCCTTAAACACAACTTTAAGTTGCACTTCTGGGATATGAGTTGAACTGACTTGATGACCATCACAGCTGACAGTTGTATACAGTAGAAAACTTAGACACTGGGTCCTCCCAATTTTAGACAATAGCTCCAACGGTGCAGGAAATTATTGACTTGAATGTGTTCCCTTCAAAAAGGGACAGACTTTGGCAGAAGGAAGAGGAATTGTGTTTATCTTCAAGTGGATGACCAGAAAAAGACTGTGCTACATTTGGAGTTTTTCTTCCATGCTGCTCCTCCAAAAAACCAAAGCAAACAGCCTCTGCCAGAAATAGACTTCGACCAGGTTCCATGTCACAGCAACAAAGCTCTAGTTTGTTTCCCCTGAACAGCTCTGACCTAAAACGTTTGTACTAATTCAAGCCTGTCATTTGTCCAAGGATTATATTTTGTTTTCTGCTTTATAATTTTTTTATGGCATGTTTTTCAGACTTAGTAAAAAAAATATCTCAATGTGTCAAGAGATTCCTGAACAGTCTGCAGCTAACAAAAAAAAAAAAAAACTTCAGGAAGAGGATGCTTGTGTTTGACCTGAGGATGTGAAATCAGGAAAGAGCAGATGATAAGCTAGCCGGGAAAAAAAAACATTATCGTCACAGGACGTTGCTGCACAAGAGCCTGTGTTGCTGCACGTTTGACCAGGTAATTGGAAAATCATGTTTCCACTCCTCTTTCTGTTCACGTTTAATAATATTCAAAACCAAATTATGTGCTAACAGTTCTAAAACTTGAGAATAATTCAGAATCCTGCCATTTTTATATCACCTGATATGCACAGTTATAGGTGGTTGTTTGCCGAGCTGTAGTTTGTATTTTTAAATTTATATAAGCATGTTATGTTTCTGTCCTGAAATACCTGAAGGTCTATTCTTTTTGTGCATAGCATTTACCAGATTTAATAATCAAAAAATAATATAACAAAAAACATTCATCAAGTCACTTAGGCATAACCATTTGTGAAAGAGAATGCCTTAATTTTAAGTCTGCAAGGTAGGGCCAGGTCTGCAATGGTAAAATAAACACTTGGAAAAAATGAGTAAAGGTTGAGTCATAGGATATTAAACATGTTGCTTAGAAAGAGATTGACTTTGTTAATAATTCCCTGGACTGGGAAGAAAACAACTTAGCTAGTAAAAGTCTTGACAAGCCATATGCAAGTCTCCATTTGTTATTAACCACTGATAGTAGCTCCTCCTGTGTGGTCAAGCTAAATTTGGTTTAATCCCTTTGTGAGAAGAGGCCATATGAGGTACTAAAGCTGTCCAATAATTTCACTTAACCTTCACAAGAAGGATTATGACAAAAAATTAAAAAAAAAAAAACAATCAATTCAAAATCTGCTTTTGATAACAGTGAATGAAATAAACTTTAAAGATGGGTGGAGATGAACATTGTAATTTTTTTAATGTGACATAAAATTAAAAATACTCAAAAGACTTTGTCCAGGTATGTCCCAACCGTTCAGTGCCGAAACAAAAGGTCTCCGTGTTCCTCCCATCAGCGCTGGGAGGGGGTGTCTTGGAAAACGTGTTGGCACAGTGGCTGCTCTGTTTCTCACCCTCCCACTCCCCAAACACTGTCTCACTCAGGCACTGTGTGGAGAGTCAGCAAGATCAAAATCAGCTCAGGAAAGCAAGGGGTCTCTCCTAAACCAACAGCAACTGGCAGGGCAGAGGAGTGTTTCCTAAACAGGAGTATAGGTTCAAAAATACACAGCTCAGAATATTTCACAGCATCCTCCACCTGGTGATATGTACCGTGTTATGTAGCTTTTACAAACAATGTCCTGATCTGGATTTTATTTTGCTCTGATATTGATCCAAGCCATTTCAGGAATAGCATTTGCCTTTATATTTAATTAAAATCAGTTCTATGTTTGTACTGTTTCAGAATTATAATGACAGACAATTTTATTGTGAATATGGTGAATTGTAGCATGTTTAAGATGCTGCAGTTTTGAGCAGTGACTTTGATTTATTACAGTGATTTATTACACTGTAATTATTATTACAGTGTAATAAGTAATTGTAGTATTTGTAGTGAGCAGTGACACTAAATTACAGATAAAAATAAATAAATAAATGGAATAAATTGGCAAACCCAGATGCAGTTTTCTGACAAATTTGAAGTTTTTGTGCAGATTATGTTTTGTAAAAGTAACTCAAACATTAGAACTCAGCAGATTTTCCTCCAGTCTCATTCTGGGTAGCGTACTCTCCAAAAGCCCTGTCCATGTTTGCATTGCAGATGCCTCAGTGAGTTTGTTGCTAATGTAGCTTGACGTCTGTGTGTGTGTGTGTCTGTGTTTGTTCTCATCTCAGGGTGGCCAAATGAACTGTTTAGCCTGAAGACCAAAGATCATAGGCCCTGATTCAACAGCAAGGGAGAGAGTGAAAGGACCGAGACCACTGCAGCCTCGCTTTACATTATGAGTCGCAACTGAGGAATTTCTTTAGGTTTCCATTTTGTGGTGAGTTTCATTTTTAAACTGAACTCTTAATATGTAAATAGCTTTGCTTTTGCTGTGGAAATCTTGCCATGGTTTTTAGTTCATTAGTCGACCAGATTACACATGGTTTACAACTGTGGTTTTGTGTTTAAATTCCTTTATTTTCCAGAATACATCAACAAATAAGGCTGAGTGCAATATAATTCCCAGCAATAGCTAAATAATGAGAGCGATCAAGCAGTGAAGTTCTCAGAGTTTTTAATTAAGAGTTGAAAGCAAACACAAACACTTGGTCTGTGCAATTTAAGGACATTTGATTGACGCACCGGTATTAAGACATGTGGTTTGATTTAAAGCTCTGTTACTCGAACTATTTTTTTTTAAGTATAAAAATTTATATTTATCTCTTACTAGGAATAAAGTCAAGGCAAATGCATTTCAAGTAGAAAAATCAATGGTTTGTCACCTTCCCAAAACCTGAAATGCAGAATGAATGCTGCAAGTTTAAAACAGACAGAAACACTAAAAACTGATTTTATTTGCATTTTAGAGGCTTTTTATCTAATAAAATCAGTGTGGTTTTGTTGTTGCTGTTGTTCAACAGCATTCTGCACACATCAATGTCGAGTAACAGTACAGAATGAAGCAACGTTCAGCATGTAAAACTGTGCAACCCAGATAATGTTTCAATATATAAAATGCAATGAAAAGTATTATTACTTGCTCCTAATAGCAGTAAGTAATATTAAATCTTCAACTTTTGATTGACTTCGGTTTAATGCCGAGATCAACATGCTTCAACAACTTGTCCCTTTAAGCTGCGTCTGCATATTCGTGCCTCATAGCTGTCAATTAGCTTTGTCTTTTATCTGGTAAATCCTCAACAAACTATCTTTGAAATAGAAGTCAGTTTGAGGTGACTGTCTGGTAACCTTCATGGAGCAAGATTGTGATGTAATCAGGTCAGAAAACTGTTTGCAAAACGGTGAAGTTTCCAAAAAAAAATCCACAGTCAGCAGCAAAGTGAAGAAAATCAAGGAATAGATCCACTTTCAAAATGATGATACACAATGATGGTGAAAATAACTAACATTGTGGTTTTAAAAGGACAAAAGCTACTTCCACTAAAACCCCAGACCAGAATTGCTGGACATTAAAATTTGTGCGTCAAAAGAGAATGAACCTTCACGACTCCAGGGCTTCTTTGTGAATATTTTTCTTTAGGAATGAAATCTTCCTAAAGAGTGTAAAGAGTCATGAGAGCACATAATGAATGACACAAACACAATAGAGTTTGCCAGACTGAAAGGCTGGCAGGAAGGATAGACCACTTGAATGTCAGGGACACAAACGCTAAACAATACAACATTTTCACTTCTAATTCATCTTGGAGTCTTATCTGATCCATAGGAATTCTGTCTGACCACTTGGAAGAATGAACTTCACCTGATTTACTATGTTTTGAAGATCAATGAATCTTTTGTACATTTTGTCCCACTACAGTCATAAATTGCATTGTATTTTGTGGGAATATTAAGTGCTAGGCCAACACAAAGTAATGCATAATAGTGAGGCAGATAGAAAAATTAAATGATTTATTTCCTTTGTTATTAAAAGATAATGGAACCCACACTGTTTTCTTTCCATTTTAAAATTACGCAATTATTGTGCATAAACATTTATGAAATGCAGTGAAGTTTGTTCTTGTAACTGGAAAAGTTCAAGGTGCCTGAGTCATGGTTCAGAGACAATTTTCCCAAATATATTATAATGATCCCACACTAAACCATGGAGAAGCTTTTGTTGAAGACTTGGAGGTCTCACACCACCCACCCCTGAGAAGTTGTGGGTTTGCCTTTAGACATTGAACAGAATTCAGATATAAGGGAAGAGGAATTAGGAAATTATCTGAAGGAGTCCAGGTGATTTAAGTCAGATTATATTACAGATTCAGAATAAATATGCTGTCTTTTATGTTTGTTGTTCTCCAGGTTTGAAAAACTGAAAACAAAAAAAATGGACGTTAAGAAAAAAGAAATGGATCTCCTTAGCAACAGCATTGCAGCTTTTGCACACATCAAAGGTAATTCACAGTACAAAACACAGAAGCAAAATTTAGCATGTAAAACACTCTACCTGGAAAGTCATGGTTTGTTTGTGTCTCCTCTGCAGCCAATCCGGAGAGCTTTGGGCTTTACTTTGTCCTGGGAGTGTGTTTCGGCCTGGTGTTGACCCTCTGCCTCTTGGTGATCCGCATATCCTGTAAGCCACGGACCAAGATCGCGGCCCCCACGCCTGAAAAGAACCCCTTAAGAGACATCAGCGTGGAAGATGAGGAAAGCGATGATGATGAGGATGAGGAAGGGGAAGAAGGAGAGGCCTCTGTTCCATTGCCCATCACAGAAATCCCTGTTGGGAATCATACCAGCCAGTCAGATGGCACTCTGAGTGTGAACGTTTTTACTTCAGCTGAGGAGCTGGAGCGCGCACAGAGGCTGGAAGAGAGAGAACGGATCATCCGGGAGATCTGGAGGAATGGCCAGCCTGATATCCTGGGAACGGGAACAGGGACTATTGGAAGAGTGCACTACTACTAATGAACAGAACGCTTCCAGGAAATCTGAGTTTGTAACAGACTGGACATAAAAACATTTGGGCCTGGTGTCCCTTCAACTTGAGAGCTTCTTTTTTGATCCAAAGTGACTTGTGGGACATAAGAATATCAGTGCCAAATTTGAGATATTTTGTTTTGGCAAAGCTGAACTTTGAGATATTGCACTTCTTATGTAGCACTATGCATTACTGTCAACTGACTATGCGTATTTCAACTTAAAGGTGTCTTAGTGGCCTCTTTGGAAATCAAGTGGAATTGATGGAGGAACGGAAGGATTCGTGGAGGTTTCAGTCTGTAAATATATAAGAGGGAATATAGATATTGAACATGCGAATGTTTTCTCTCAGTTCATATTCCTAAATATTCCTAAATTCACACCAGATGTCAGGAACACAAGTAATCCCAAAATAAAATGAAATTCAAATGAATTAGTTCATAAATTCCTCTTTCACATACTCTGATACTCTGTTTTTCAATAAATTTTCAATGGATTTTAATTGGGTCAAAGTCTGGTGATTTAAGTTTTTCAAGTGATGTGAAGTTCCACTTTTCCAAACATGCTTGGACAATCAAAGTCATGTTTTGGTCTCATGTAACCAGATTCTTTTATCCCAAGGTTTCTATATGTTTTACAGATGATCCACAAAATATTTCAAATGAGCTTCAGCATTTTTATTTCAATAATGGAGCCTAGTGCACCATTAGTGGTGAAAGTCATGACTGTTGGGTGCGTTACTTGTAGGTTTCATGTGACATTTGTACTTGCTAATTGCTCTGTTAGTGGTCCTTTGCTCTTTTAAAACTCTCCTGAGTATTTCAGCGACAACTCTGGGCATTAACCTTCCAAGGACCACTTGGTCATGTATGGCTTATACTGAAATTATGTTCCTTCCACTTTGGGATTATTCTCCAAAGAGTCCACTGTGGAACATTAAAAAAAGTATAAATATATCTGTAACCAATAGTATCAGTTTGTTTTGCAACAGTTGGATTAGAAAAGTCTTGAGAGAGCTCTTTGTCCTTATCCATCATGACATCCTTGGTAATGAGAAACCTTTTTTTAATCGACTACACCAGCAGGACATTAACAGGCACTGTTAGAAAGCATCGTTTTTTTTCTGTATGCTTGCAAATTTTACTGGTTTCTTGCTGCCTGTGGCTCTGTGCTGCTTTTTTTCTCCTTTTCAAGGTTAATTTCTCATTTCATTCCATTTTATTACGCAAAACTTAATTTGTGGGCTTATTTGTTTGGCTTTCCTTTTGTATATGAATTACTTGGGTGGCAAATGACATCTGGTGTCAATTCAATGGCATGCTAAAAGGACCATTAAAAACACTTACTGAGAAAATTGTTAACATGGTCAATACTTATTTTCCCACTGTATTTGGTGCTTAATGTTAAAACAGCAGGTTTGCATATATTAAGGAAAACAATGCAGCAATAAAAAAATCTAAAGTTTGTCTCTCCTAAGCTGTTGTTTTTGATATATTTAAAACATATTTAGTAATTCAGAGACAATTTTAAACAAAAAAAAAAAAAAAACATGAGAACTTGTGACTTTGATCCACAAGCACCGCTAAATAAAAACAGCAAGACACATAAATTTAATCTGCCATGTATCAAGGTTTCAGGCTGTTGGTGCAACTTTGGGCCCCAACTGAGCTCTGTTTTCATACCACAGCTTACTTGAATATTGTGCCGACCATTTCCATACCTATATGACCACAGCAACTTATCCTCTGACAATTACCTCCAGCACCAAGTCATAAATCTCAACTGGTTTCACATGACAAGAAGTTTCGCCTCATCGTAAACCAACGGAGCACCTTTAAGATGTGGCAGAAGATTTTCTCCAGCCTACAAATCTGCAGTAACTTAATAATGCTATCGTGCTAATCGTACAAATCTCTGATGATTGGTTATGGCACCTTGTTGAATCTATGCCACAAAAAATGCTGATGAGTTTCAACCTAAGACTGATGAGGTGTTGTCCCCCAAAGTGGTTCATGCGTGTAGCTAGTTGTAAAGACTTTATTCCACCTTGAAGGATCAATTCAGCTTTTTGAAGTTGGGTTCTATTGAAGGATCATGACCAGTCAATAGCTCACCAAGCAAAACTAGAGCCCTGTCAAGACATAAGCAAACCCTTCTAACGTTACATTTACATTTAGAGAGCCTAATATGTAATTGCAATGCTGTTCTTAAAATTGGTATTTAAAATAAATAAATAAATAAAAATTGAGACAAGATGAAACTTCAATTTTTATAAAGTCCTCCATTAATCGCTTGACTAACAGTGCTACAGGCCTCCATGGTGGAGCCAATAAATAAAGTTCAATCAACCTTTAAATACTTTGCCTAAAACTCTGAATGGAGCGGCTTTAAATAATACTACAATGTTGAAGGTGATTGATGGCAATGTTGGGCTAGAGGAATTCTTAATGGAGCTGATGTGTCTATAATGAGCTTTTTTCTGCTTAAAAAAATAAAACTAACTTACAGAGCAGAGAAGAGGATGAGGAGACCTCAGCATGCCTTCTTCCTGTTTATCATTTGACTTTCCTCAGTCGCCTCATATCCACTGCTTTAATCTTTCTATTTAACTATTATTAGCTGCAGATTTGTGAAGTTTGTGTTTTATAGCATTTTACACTGAACACAAGCTGCTCAGAATGACAATTTGCTCCATTCAAACCACAATCGTGTGAGTGAAGTATTCTACTCACACATTTTCTGTGTTCAAACAGAGAAGAGCAACTGTTTTAGAGTTTTAACAGGAGAGCCTATGCAATATGTGTTGGAAGCATAAATCATTTATTTGCCAAGGACTGAAAACAAGATGTCAGTAGGTGGCGATGTTGTACAAAAAATGTGCAAACAGACCCGATGGAGCAAAAGAATGGTCAAGTTGCTCTGAAAAATCCTATTTATAGTTTTCCAGACAATAGAGACATTCATGTGTTTCTATTGTGTTTCTAAAACATGCACAAGTTTTTTTGTGCTATTGTAACCATGAAACAATCTCCCCTTCAACTGGAGAAACATTGTTGATGTTACCATGATAAAATAACTTGCAATTAAGTTTTGGCAAAGATCAATGTCATTTTCATAGGCGACAGAGTGCTGTTGTTAGCAGCTGCTGAAAGTAACTAAAATAGTTACTTCTAATGTAACTTAGTTACTTTCCAAATCAAGTAATCAGTGATCTAAGGTATGTTTTCAAGTAGTAATCAGTAATCAGATTAAAGTTACTTTTTCAAAGTAAGTATGCCATCTGTCTTCTGTGCAGAGAAAGTTTGGCTGTAATGAAAGAAAATAATCTAAGAATATAATCTATCAAGCTTCTCAGAAACACACAGACAAAGACAAGAATATAGAGCAGCACAATAATGTATTTTCAGTTTATAATGCATGCACTTTAATTTATGTATTTATCTTGATATTAAGAAACATGTTTTTCAAAACAATTTATTTTTTTGCTGTTTGCCTGTTAAAAATGTTTTCACTTGAGGTTACTGACAGAGCCATAACAAAATATTGTTTTATTCTTTTAATTATTAAATAATATACACTGTGTTAGGTCTTGGTTCAATAACCTATATGCAATCATTTCAATATATTTTAATAAACATTGAACCAGTCCGGCCCTCAGCTTATAGAAAATTAGTTTTTTTGGCCCTCAGTGTATTTGACTTTGACACCCATAGTTTAGATTATCTAATTATTTTGAAAACACCTTATATAATTAATATCTGAGATTTTCTTAGACGCTTGTAAGCTGTTGGAAGTGCTTGATAGAGGTTCGTCTAGATGTACACCTTGGTAAGATGCAGATAAGAATTACAAGTAATTAATGACTTCTAGGAGACAATACTTTTATGTTTAATTTGTATTATTTTGCAGTTTTGTTTTTTTTTTTTTTTTACAGAGACTGAATGGATCCTTTCAGTATATTATTGTGTATATGCCTGCTTCCAAGGCGTGAAACAGCATTCTGTTTTGTGTTAAATGGTCCAAAGTTGTTTAAAAAAAACAAAGAGATTTTTGGGCATGGTTGCTTTCCAACAATCAGATTAAAACAGAGTGCTGACCACATTGGTTTATTTGGGGTTTATGGGGGTTTCTTATAACGTTTGACTGCTCACTCTGCTGTCTGTTTACTGGAGCGTTTTCTTTGTCTACTCTTCTGTTGTTGGTGCCAGATAACTATTTTAACTCTAATGTTAAAGTTTGTGGAAATATTAATTACTTCTCCTGCCGAATATCACCCGTCAGTTTTTTTTTTAATGCATCCTACAAAATAAGTGTTCATAAGATAGTGCTGGTCACACGATTGACAAATAGATTGTAAAATTTCTTCTGCAGGTGCTCCTTCTGAAGTTCAGCTCCTGACTGATCGTTGGGACAAGAGCCACTGAGTTCATATTCTTATTAGATGTGATTGCTCAGTCTGACTCATCCAATCCAGATCAGCCACAAACAAAGATGATGCTCTCTAAATTTTCCTTTTGTTGTCTAGCTTGTGAGCAGCCCACACATTGTTTCAACACAATGACTTGTGTCATGCTCTGTAATGTGGTTTTGGGAGGAGTTTGTCATTATCGTTCCCAAAGCTCTGATGTTCTGAGCTTGGTGGATCCAGGGAATCATGAGGTCAGAACTCCGAAGGCCAATATCACTGAAATGTGATGAATCTGTCCCAGAAATGATGCAAACTGATGAAACAGCCAATAGACTTGCAAAACCCAGATGATTTGCCCACACTGAACAAATGTTTGCACACAGTTAATCTTCAATGACTTGTTGACTTCCAGGAAATGGAATTATGAAGGGTTGGCTCAGATACCTTAGGCTTTAGCTAAAGTCTTTGTAAGGCTTTAGCTAAAGCCTAAAGCCTTACAAAGACACTCATTCACTAAATAATCAGTATATAGTATTTGTCAATGTTCTTTCTCTCTGCTATATTGATAGGAGAAACATGTTTTGTTCTTGCATGAAAAGATTGCATGAGTTCTTGCTGTGAATACGTCATAGACAAGAACCCGCCTTGAATCATCCACAAAGTATAGACTGTGCTGAAGGAGCTGCTGAGCTCAGGTTAGCCTTATTGGTGTTCTCTCTGTTGAGGCCTTTCATGTCAGTTCACTGGCAATAATAATGCAGTAAACTGGAATAGTTCTTATTTTTTATGTAAACATATTTCAAAATTATGTTCTGAATACAAAAGATATTTCATTAATAATTCCAGCTTGAATTTATTTATTTATTTTTTTTTCTAAATGTCTGAAATATTTTACATTTCATCGCTGCTGAACTGTCATCCTTGGGGACTTTCAGTATTTCTCAGACAGAGCCAAATATGTGTAAAATGTTTACTGTGATTTATTGGTGTCCCTGTTGGCTCAACAGCATTCCTCATTGCTGGGAATGTAAAACCGCTTAGAAACTAGTGAAATGTAAAATCCAAGGAGAATATAGTTCTATAGGAATTTTACTTTTTCTACACATCAACCTTCACAAATATTAGCAAAAAAAGGAGCTTACAATTATATTGTCTTTAATTGCAATTGTATAATTAAAACTCAGCATTTATTGTGAGTATTTATTTGGGAGAAAGGACCCATCCTGAGATACAATTGATTTGACCAAATACTGAGGGGCCACAGGTTATTAAACTCTTATCAATTTCTAAAGTTGAATAAAACTGAAGCTCTCAAGTTGATCAATACCTAAAAACCTTTAGTTTAATTCAATGAGATGTAAATATGACTCAAAGAAGATGTCTTTGGTTGATCTGAAATGGTTGATCCAAAATAGCTGCAATAAATCAGTCACCTATTATGTGTTCATATCTACAGTCAAAGCAATACAAAATACAAAAGAGCTGAAACTGTTGCAAAGACACTGAATAAGGATCCAGCTTTATCTTGTTGCCACTAAAAGTGAAGAGGATGCGCATCATAGGTTTACAGAAATCTTCTTTAGCAACCGTTATATTTCATCCACACGTTTCTTAAACTTGGAAAAAAATGTTCTCAAACAAATTAATGGGAGATGTGTTGCAAGAAAATACAATTTTAATAACCTTTTTTTTATTTTTTTGTGGTTTTCATCTTTCATAGAGGCAAATGAAATTACAGTGGTCCTTCCAAATGCTTTGCGTTTATACTAATTTTCTCCAAATCTTGAGTGACAGGAATATGCAGCAAATAATCAACTTTCAACATGGGCTTTAAGAACAGTCTGTTCCTGTGGGCATTTTAGAAGTGGTCTGCATTTGATAAGCTCCAGGTGTTACACATATGTGCTTAACTTTAGGCAGAGGGTCGTACTTATTGGAGCACAATCATTTCTACTATTGGGAGCCAAAACCATATCTTTAAAACTCGTGGTGAAGCTGATTTGGTCCAACTCTGATGTTAGGGAAACATTTTTCCCATGCTGTGATGGGTGAAAAAAAAAAAAAAAAG